GCTTAGCTATCCCGACGAGACTCTGGTAGTATATCCTTCTAGTGAGAGTGCGCAGAGGGTGTGACCCGGCATGTACTCCTAGACTACTCTTCGTGTATTGCTAGCGGCAATATGCCATGTGATGTTTTACTGGCGCCACATGCATGATAATATGTAGTCCGTGTCCATGCATATGCATTCTTAATGTTATATGATAAAGTGATGGTTTATGTCTTGGATGAGTGTGATGTTATTATTAATTTATCTATGTTATACTTATTTTGTTTGTGTTTGGCTATTCGGCGTATATTTCTACACTATGAGCCAGAGTGAGATGTTTCTCACTCCCTTTTCTCTTGTGTTGTTTTCTCTAACTGTCATACAGGTTATTACCAGCATGAGGCTGAGGATGTTGGTGATGAAGCTTAGGCTTCTACGTGGGATTTGCTCTGATAGGACATATGACATCGGGGCATAAATAGGATTAGATTGGAATGTTATTTTTATTAAATCATTTTTAAAAAACTCAGTTTCATTTCCTTGTAATTTCTCTATATGTTATTTGGATTAAGTTTATGAATGTGAACTCTTTACCCTTATGTTGTTGGAAATTTGACTGTCTTATGTTGAAGAATTGTATTTTATTTTATTTATTTTATATAATTATTATATATGTATATTGGGATAGAGGGTGTCACAAATGTTGGTAAAAAAAATAATGGTCATTTAAATGGCCATTAAATAATAAATTAATTGTCACAAAAAAATAATTTTAGTGTAATGAATCGACCAAGAAAAATCAACTACTATCAAGAAAAATGAAGAAAAACGAAATCCCAATTTGTCAATGCATTTATTGAGGATGGATTATGTACTAGTATTTCTGTTTTTTTTTTTTATTCATTTTGGTCAAATGAATTATTAAAAAGTGTGCACAGCAACACCAACATAGCAAAGGTTGACCAAATTTATGTGCCACAGATACAATCCTAGTCCAACCAAACACTTGTCACACAACCCTACTAATCCACCCTAAAACCATGCAAAACCACACATGCAAGACCCTTCCACAACCAACCAAGGAGCATACCCCACAACAGCTCCAACCCCTACCCTATAAAACCCCTTCCAAGACTCCATTCTTCCTCAGACCTGCAACAAAAACAACAAAAAAAGCACCATAAAGAGCAGCTTCTTTCACCACAAACACCAAGCGGGTCTCCCCAACTATCCACAAACTTCATCATGGACATGAGGAAGGTTACCTGTGCTGTTCTCATTGCTGCTGCCTCCATGAGTGCAGTCTTGGCTGCCACTGAGGTTCCTGCACCTGCTCCTGGCCCTAGCAGTGGTGCCTCAGCCACTGCTGTTGGCTCCATTGTTGGTGCTTCAGTCTTGTCATTCTTTGCCCTTTTCCACTAAGGAACATGCACTTTAAGGAAGGAGGCTGCATATGCTTATTTATTAGTATGGAATAAAGAGTGAACACATCAATTATATATGTGCGTTGATATGTAATATCAATTTATCTTTACCATTTTGAAAATGTAATTGTTTTGTGTTCATAATGAAAAATTTATTATATTAAGCATTTTTTCTTCCTTCGGCCTTAATGTTTCATTCAATTTATATCTCACGGTACTCCCACAAATTTTGGTGGGATCCTGAAGAAATCTCACAAGCTTCGGTTCTTTGAACCCGCTATATGTATTGGAAGATCTAATATGGCAAGTCTCAATTCTAGGAATACATGCAACCAATATATATATTAGAAAAAATCAGATAATGTGAATTAGTTTTAAGATAATATCTAACATGATATCAGAATCTATTCTGCTATGCATACATACAAAGGAAACATATGTACGAAGATTATGTTGGAATACAAATAAGATCATTAGAATAAAAAAAATAAATAAGAATTTATAAAACAAAATAATTTATTGATAAAAAAGTCTTTAAAATAATGACTAAAAATAAAATAATAAAAACTTAGATTCAAAATGAATATATATTTTTTATTGTGAAGATGTGAGTGCAAATACCATAAGTAATAAATAAAAATAAGATAAAATAACCCTTCTATTGATAAATATATCTTTTTCTCTTAAACAATTATCATAACATAACTCTAACAAGTTATAGCAAAAAACATTAATTAACACATGACAAAACATCTTTTGAAATCTCACACCACTTTATCTGACCAGCAACAAAAAGTAATTAAATATAAATAAAAAAATTTGATCAATTACAAAAATATGAAGTTGTTTCATTTCTTTTATTTTTCTTTTTTTACTGTTGTCTCCTCAATAGCTTTGGTGTTCTAAAATGATTGAAAATATACAAGACGACAAAACATAGGGATAATAATATATCAATTTAGTCCTTCAAATAACCAGCATCGATTAATTGAGTACTTGAAAATATCATTTTAGTTCCTAATATTATCATAACAATAATCATTTTAATCCATGAAATCATTACTATGAAGTAAAATCACCAATGTTTAGTCCTTTTAGAATTTAAATAAATATTATTATATAATTTTAACAATAAATTAACCGATACTCAATTCAAGAACTAATTTAGTATATTATTCAATACTAGTATGTCAAATATAACCAGAAAAACAGGCTAATCAGGCCAAGAAAATAAAGATAACTTACAAACAAATCCACCAAATAAATAAAACATGAAGCTCAGGGCCTCATTTTTCCTAGTTTGAGAGGGGAGGGTGGCTATGACGATATCAATGTTCATGCAATCAATGGCCATAGCTTACAAAAAAACACCAATTAATATTCAACCCAACCATTTCAAATATAATTTAATCCATTTACAATACACCGTTTACCAGCAAAGAATATATGGGATGTTATTTTCCAGCCTCGAATCTTCAATCAAGCAAAAGTCTCAAAGAAACAAACTCATGTAACATTTGGAAATACACGTTTTGCTTACAATAATGTATAAATAATATGCAGCACAGCACCTTTCACAAACTATGTTTCAGGATTAAGTTTTTGTGAGGCCATGAGGCTTTTTGTAAGCCATATTGCTGTTTCTCTGGATGATACAGATACAGCATCTTCTCCAAATGGACTCAGCACAGCAGCAAGCTCTTCAAGCTTTCCTTGCTGAAGTAGCTGTGCACATAACTCGAGCAGAGATTCTAGAGCATCAGCTCTTTGCTGGCAGGTACTATCACTGCCTCTTGATATACGTGTCCTTATTGAAATGCCATTGGGTGGCTTATCGGCAACAACGGCATTGTCATCTTTTTTATGCGTTGAACAACTGAACGTATGTGTTTTGTCACTCTCAGAAGTCAAGCTGTCCATGCATGAGCCTTCCATAAATGCTTCAGGATTTTCATTTTCCTTCAAGCTGTTTCCAGTTTCAGTGTCATGTTCAACCCTAACAGGATGTGCAATTGGTGATGAACTTTCCTCATCAATGGACCCATCTTTATCATTATTGTTGCTGTCTTCAATGGATTTTGGTTTACTGGAGTCCTCAGGTTTAGCATCTTTCTTCTGTGTTTCAGCTTTATCAAAACCTTCATTGGAAAGTTTATCTCCAACTTCTGTAGTCTCTGCATTTATGTCAATTGCATCAGACTTCTGAAAATGATCAGCAGCAAGTCCTTGTTCTTCACATACAGAATCTAGCATACTCTTGGACGTGATCTCATCGCCAGAACCATCTTTATCGTAACCATTGCTGTTTTCACAGGAAATTATTGATTTGCTGGAGCTCTCAGGCTTGGTATCTTCCCTCTGTGCTTCAGCTTTATCAAATCTTTCATCAGAAAATAAGTCTTCAACTTTTGAAGTTGCTGCATTTATGTCAACATCTGACTTTTGAACATGTTCAGCTATAAACCCTTGCCCTTCATGCACAGAATCATGCGTACTCTCTAAAGCAATCTCATCAATGGACCTATCTTCATCATTATTGTCGCTGTTTTCACCGGACATTACTGGTTTTCTGGAGTCCTCAGGTTTGGCATTTTCGCTCTCTGCTTCAGTTTTGTCAAAATCTTCAATGGAAAAATTATCTTCAACTTTTGTAGCCACTGCATTGAGGTCAATCACATCTGACTTCTGAACATGTTCAGCAGCAAACCCTTGCTCTTCATGCATAGAGTCGAGCATACCCTTTGATATGATCTTATCAATGGATCCTTCATTAACATTACTGTTGCTGTTTTCAATGGATGCTAATGATTTTCTGGAGTCATCAGACTTGGCATTTTCCCTCTCTGCTTCAGTTTGATCAAAACCATTGGAAAAATTATCATCAACTTTTGTAGCCACTGCATCTGTGTCAATCACATCTGAGTTCTGAAAATGTTGAGATGTAAATCCTTGTTCATCAAGCATAGAATCTAGAGTACTCTTTGATGTGATTTCATCAATGGACTCATCTTTATCATTACTGTTGCTGTCTTCACTGGACATTATTGATTTACTGGAGTCCTCAGGTTTGGCACCTTCACTCAGTGCTTCATCTGTATTTAAGTCTTCATTGAAAAAAGTATCTTCAACTTGATTAATTGCTTCATTTATGTCAGCTGCATATGACTTATGAGCAGCAAATCCTTGTTCTTCAAGCACAGAATCTAGTGTACTCTTTGAAGTGATCTCGCTGTCAGCCGCGTCCCTTGCAAGTCTATTTTTAAAGTCTCCTTCCTTGCACACACTGCATACGGTTGATTCAGATGTTGTTGAGCCATCTTTCGAGCCACTAATACTAGTAGAAAATTCCACAGTGTTGCTGGTAGAATCAACCATTTTAATCTCAAGGTTGTCTTCTGCACTGGTTGACACTGCTAGCTTGCCATCATTAGGCCGGTTCTGTGTCTGTACATCTCCATTTCCCTCAATTGGATAAATTCGCTCCAAACGATTTACTAATCCTGCTAATCCTGCCTCCTTGTCCCAAAGGTGTTGATCACCACTAGATTTGTTTTTTGTTTTTTCCTTTGAGTTTGAGTTACTAGATATAAGATGTACCGGTAGAAAAATAGATGATGCATTACGACAGCGGAGAACAAAAGGTTGCAAATGAGGATGCCTTAATAATTCAGATGCCTGTCAACAAAGTGTACTGTAAGAATGAACAGCTCCACATAAATGAATTACACAGGAAGAGTTCAGTTGAACTCACTGTTGGTCTATGTTCTGGGTTTTTCCTCAGCATGCTCTTGATAAGTTGTTTCCTGTTGCACATAAATGACATAAATCTTATAGCTTCAGTTTTATCAATTATCATTTCAATCACATATTTAAAGGAAATGGAGGAATTGACTGGTAGATTTTTGTTTGATTTAAATAGATATAATAATTTTTGAAAGCTCAGGTGGGAAAAAGCATGACAGCAGTGTGACTGCTAATGGTTTTTAGGTGTTCAAATTATGAGGTTTTGGTAGTGAAGGAGGAAACATGATGTCTAATTGATTACAATATTATTCTAAGGACTTGTATTACATTCAGATATATTCTAAAATATTTTAAGACGCATTAATATATACCGAGATATTTTGTATGTATTCTAACACTTCCCTTGAAGCTGAAGCTTACTAAAGTTCTAAGCTTGTGACAATGAAAAAAAACTAAAAGAAAATAATTCTGAAAATGGCGTCAGCTAAGAACATAGTTGATAAGACAACTCCAGAGATGCATGGCTAGAATGACTAACAGACAAGGCCCAAACATCTTCAAAATCATCACAAATAGCATTTGGAATCTTCGAGTTGAAAGAAAATTTAGTAGCCCCCAAACTTAAAACCTGAAGCAGACAGTGAATCAAATCCATATAACAATCATTCTATATGAGATTAATATGGGGTAGTATACTAGTATACATTGAAAAATGCTAACACGATGATTCTATATTTTTACTAAATAACAAAGCATTTCCATTAGTAAATTCTTCTATAATATTATGTTCTATCTTCCTCTAAATCTCTCTAAATTCAACAGTCTAAGATACACAGATACCCATGATTACTAAACGTATTTTATCATGTGATAATTGAACATAATACTTCCCAGGTACATTAACTATGATAATTTCCAACATAAACATAAATTAGGTTAAGTATTGGGATAGCATTACCAGTATATACCCAAGCTCACAAATAGAATAAGATTAAAAATCCTATCATTAAATAAGGAAACATAATAAAATTAGGAAACCACTTGTAAGATTGGTTCCTCGATTAGATGACTAATTGACTTCGTAAATCTTAAGAGTTAAGGTATCCTACAACATTCTAAGATACAGTAGATATATTCTGAATACTTTGTAGATATTATCAAATGAAGTTACTTACAGTGTGGAAGAGTAAACAATTGGTAGAGGAGAAATGGAGCATCTATTTATTTTATTGATAAGTCCAGCCCTGTCCTGTTTGATTCATTCATTATTCACCAAATTATTTCAGTTAAACATATATTGGAGACACTTCATTGTCAGTAATAACATCAAACTATCATAGATCGTTCAGTTTTGTTCTTACTGGAGCACGAAATGCCGGTTGATGTGCAACAATTTCAAACATGCAGCAACCTTTACATGCAAAGGGACATCATTCTTACACAAGGTCAGATATCATGGCATGTGACTTTGTCAACTAGAAGCAAGGCATCTGTAATTCTTACCAAGTGACCACATATCAGATTTATAACCATAAGGCATACCAGCAATGGCCTCAGGACACATGTAGTTTAGAGTTCCAACAGCCTACAAAATATATAAGGATACAAACGACAAACATACTTCAATATGTAAATTTAGTTAAGTAGAATTATCATTAGTAATACAAGGTTTAAGGAAAGAAAGAAAAATTTATTCAGTTTTAGTTAAAAATCATCAATTACTTGGCATGACAATTCACTATCAGGGGAACAACTGCAAAAAAGTTTCTTGAAGAAGGTAGCAGATAATGCTAAGACATTAACATATATATTACCGGGTAAGCAAGGTCTTCGTTAAGAAGCTTCGCAAGACCAAATTCACCTGCAATGTCCATGTAATACATTTTTTCTTTAGACAACATGTTATATGGAAACCTAAAGTGATGAGCATTCAAAGGATACGCCTTCATACCTAGCCGAATGTTATTTTCTTTGGTAAGGAATATGTTGGAACACTGAAATTAGATGAAGTTGCATTAACATAAACACCATGTATGGATTTCATTGCCAGGATATAAGAATAAAAGGTACCTTAAGATCTCTGTGGAGTACCCGATTGGAGTGAAGGTAGTCAACAGCTAGTAACAACTGAGTCAACCATTTGCAGACTTTCTATTGCAGAAAATGGCAATGCAGAGTGGGTAAGGAATAAGGAAAAGGAATCCAGAGAGAATGAAGGCAAACGGAAGATGAGAGGTTAAGTACAAAATTTCCTTCCTCCATTTTTTTGGGCCAAGGGTTACATGATAATTCCTAATTTATAAAGACTCCCAAATAAGGGGGAGGTTTACTTAAGACTTTTCCTCCTCTCCCTGTCCTCCCATTGTCCCCCAGCCAAACAAACACTAAGCAATGGAACATAAAACCTTATTAGTTACCTCCTCCGAAAAATAAGATCCCCGAGCTTTCTTTATATTCGCAGCCCTGCTCCAGAAGAATATAGTATTCCATGATTTAGACACCAGGTAACAAGTAATAATTCTCCCAAGTGTCATATAAATGTATGCTAAACACATATGATATGCTTTATAATACATGAGAACCATGGAACCCCAAAGCCTTTATCCCAAGTACTCCATTCCAGTCTTAGAATGTGATTAAAATTACCAATGTTATAAATAATCTTGTCAATATATATGTGTGTGTGTGTCAAGATTCAATGTAGAAAGTTTATTTATATTATTGCAAAAAATAAACATCAATAAACAAAAATCCTATAAAAATCTCCGCATGACATATTAGTATATTACAGATCACTTATATTCCAGAGTTTTTAAAAAAATTCTAGGCCACTATCTAACAGCTTAAACTTTTAGGTCAAGAATTTATTTAATGTATTACAATTATACCAGATATTACAATTTACTTAATGTATTACAATTACACCCTTCGGCTCCCGCATAGTCCAAACGTGGTTCGGCCACCAGCAAGGCCAAACACATTCCAGCCATCAGCAAGGCTGAACAAGTTCTAGCCACCACCAAAAAGGCTGAAATTTTTCCTCCCAAACCCCACGTACAAGCATATACCCCATCAGTCCCTATCATGGCTGAACACTGGAAACCCCTTCAGGTGAGGCCCGATGATGAGGACCCCTCAGTCCTTGAAGAGGCCGAACACAGTTTGGCCATTCCAAGGGCCGAAGACTGTTCGGCTACATAAACAAGCAGTTACCTTGCCAGTATAATTAAGGAAAGAGACAATAAGGCAGGATTAACAAGATACTTACATTAAGGTAAACTACCCTTAACCCCCATTAACAAACACATTACTTAATTGGTAATCAAGTGTAAATCCCAATGCCCACTAATTTTGGTAATCAAGTGTAAATCCCAATGCCCACTAAGGTTAGCATAAATTGAGAACAGGTCAAGAAATAGATATTGTTCATTATTGTACTGTTCACTCATTTAATACATATCTATTGCCTTAATTAAGCGTCAGAGTGTCTTCGCAAGTATCTCACACTCCAGCACGTGGAGGTAGAAATGGAAGAAGAAGCTTGATCAAAAGCCTAGAAGTTTGTGAGTGTATCCCTAGCAGGTACAACAATCAAATTGAACAAATCTAAAATTCAATACCGCCTAGAAGTTCGTGAGTGTATCCCTAGCAGGTACAACAATCAAATTGAACAAATCTAAAATTCAATACTTGTCACTCCCTGTCTACTAATTGAAGTTTTAAAATAACATTTTCCTCCCAAGGATTGAATTCACTATAAAGTTAAGTGTAGCCTCCATACAAGATAGATCGTAGAAGTTTGTCTTTTATCCACATTTCAAGTCTAGTAGGCCTTCACACAAAGGGGTGTGTTAAGATTTAAGAGTTGTGAAAATCATTCTTGGAATCTTACCAAATGCTTAAGCATTTAGGTAAATAGGTTTGATGCAGATAGCTAATAAATCATTTTACTTCTTAGTTACCATTATATGTCATTCTCCGTAAACAATGAATAACTCAGCTCCTTATGCTAGAAACAATCAGTATTGCTAACAGATATTACCATACTTACATGTCACCTCCTTCACAATAGCCAGTTATAATGCATATGTAGTCTTCCTACAGAACATGATAATACCACAAATATTAAGGATTGATGAACATTTAAATAAGCCTATAAATTCTACAGAACTTCAAACTTCAATTTACAGCAATATGTAAAAGTACAACTGAAAACTCTAAAAGACTAAAGGAAAGAAAAGGTTAATCTTTACCTTCTCCACCCAAGCATCTTTGTACTCCACAATATAAGGGTAATTTAGTTTTCCTATCAGGTCCATCTGAGACAGAAAGAGAGACAATATTAGCATTTTGTCAGAACTAAGAAGGTAAGGGAACACTCATTCAAAACCATGAAGGGGAATCTCTCAGCAATGCAACCATTATCAATAATACTATATAAAAATTAGTTTCAAAATTCGGATGGTTCTTGGCTCAAATAAAAATTGCATATCACACAGTGCTCATAGCGTTTTGTAGGCATAATAAAATTCACAAAACAAATATCCTCTACTCTGGAGTAGATGTCTGAGCAGTACTTGAAACAGACAATGATGATGTAGCAGAGCACCTACAATTCTACAAATTTCATCAAATGAGATGAAATTCAATTTGAGTTACTACTCACTAGTATGTTTTTAAGTATGTGTCTATGTCTTTGGAGAAAGAATGCTGCTTCTGGAATTAACTCATTTCAGATGACTGGTTTAACTGTAGCACAGCAGGAATGAAGCATAACCAGCTAT